TTAAGTCTCTCAATTGAGTCAATGATTATTATACTAAGTATTATTATATTAGACAAATAAGAGTATTGGATTTTAATAAAATTATATTCTATTAATTATGTACATATAAAAGTGATTTTACAATTAAAAACATAATGCATAAGTAATTTATAAGTAAGATAAAATTTCTCAAAAACTTTATATATTCTAAAACACAAGTTAACATAATGTTTTTTGTATTTTTTTTTAACTTTTTTGACTATGTATAAATAAGTGTTAAAGTTATATTAGATCTAGATTTATCCTTATGAAGTTATATTAGATCTAGATTTATCCTTATGATGAAAATAACTTACCTTGTTTGTATGGTTAACTTAGAGATAATAATTACGATTTAAATCTTATCTATTTAAGACATATGATGCTTGAATTATATTGTTTATATTTTTTTTAGATTTTTTGTAATTTTATTAGATTTTTTTGGAACCATATCGCGACCGATGTGTATCAGTGCCCTTCAAGTTGAGAGCTGATACCGCGAAGAATCCAATGGTGCTGATGGGACATTTCCAAACACTCCTAGATGATGACACATATACTTGGCGTCAATGGAGACACCTGCTCTAATACTGACACGTCTTCGTAGTTTTTTAACTCCCTGTCCCGAGGATGTTATTTACAGGGATCAGGGATCCCCAAATCACCATGGACTGACACGTATTCCTCGACAGTTTTGGGAACATCGGTCCTAAATCATGCTAGTCCCTCGGCATCGAGGGGTATCTATCGCGTTGGCGTTTCTGCACCTGCAGGGGCTATTGATGGACAGATCACTAGCCTAGGCAAGGCTAGACTAGCCATCATGACCTCGTCCTATTCAAATGGTGTCAGGAGGCACAAGAAAGCAGAAGGCTCAACCAAAAAGGAATGGACACGTGGCTTATTATGTCAGATCAGAGACAAAAAAAACCAGAATGCTCTTGCTGACACACGACTTGGGAAAGCAAGTATTTAATGCACATTTCCCTTGATGAGACAACATTTAATTACTGAGGGCTCGGAAGTGGAAGGTAATAAATGTCTCGAAGCCTGGGCATTTAATACACCCCCACTGACAGAAGATCACTAAATGTTCGGTAGACCGAGGAGAAAACATTAATTGCTTGGGGCCCCGAGCAGTAAAGAATAAGATCATTACTCATAGAAATTGGTGTGCACACTGCCCACTCCCAATGATTATCTACTAGCTACGCTGTCGGCAATGATGAGTTTTAATGTATAAATAATCCTCACAAACACAGAAAAGGGGTACGCAACGAACCCTCTCTCAATCATTGTATAATGTTTTCTTCTTCCCCTCTCTAAAAAGAACTGACTTGACCGTCGGAGGGGATACGCCGAAAAACACTCCAGCGCCCTTCTAATTTGTTTTCCGTTGTTCCAGGAACCTCCTTCAATTTTCCAGGATCACTCAGGCGACTCGTATCAACGATTGATTATCCACCTTCGACCCTCACAACCTATTCAACTAGCAAGATCAACCACCCAATTTCGAACACGTGTTCACCACGGAAGAGATCTCTTCTAGTGTTTATATCGTGCAGGATCTTGGACCCACAGGTGCTATTCTAGAGGGCCAAAGGTACGCCAGTAATAATTTTTTTTTTATTAAGTTAGTTTCGACTATGTCAAAAAAGTTGAGCCAATGTTTGGACTTTTGACAAATTAGGTATGGAAATTATGGTTTTCAATAATTTCCACTTTAATATTTTCTAGTTTAATTAGATAAAGTTTATGATGCTATGATAGGCTTAAACAGGTGCAGTGTTACATATGTGTAGTCCATATGTAACGTTGATGTCATTTAAGATTTTATACATGGTTCAAAGTATCGGTCGATAACTACACGATTTGGCTGAGCCGTATGCGACTCAGCACATTCCGAAATGATACTGTTACACGATACATATAAGTCCCGAGTCTCGAACGATTCGACCGAATTGGCCGAGTTGTAACCGAGTCAATCCCGAGTTGCCGAGTTGTCGTCACCGAATCGGCCGATACAATTCTGCGGTGCCGCAGTATAACTTGAATCTCTTGTCATGTTGAACATTTTTTTTAGGTTGTATCGTCCCGATACCGTGTCTTGATGTTGCGATCGATGTGTTTCAGAGATCTCCAAGTCGATGGCCGATAACGCGACCTTGAACCATGATTCTATACAAGTATGTATATGTGCAATGTTTGTTGCATGTTGATCACAGTTCTTGAGTAAGTCTATGTTGGACTTAATTGTACCTGACGACTTGTGACTATCATAACTCAAACAAGCTTCCTGACCACAATAGTATTGTTTGGAACTGTAAACTTCCACCACTGTTTGGTGAGCCATGGTTTTAGAGTTAATTCTTACTATCCTAGTAAAGTTGAGGCCTAGTTTTTTTATTATTTGACTTGTTTACAGTAAATCTCAGTTTGTGCCAAAGTTGACCCTTGTAGCATGTTGGAGGAGGTGTTTTTGGTCTCTCCTTATTTGGTATTTTGTTTCACAAACATCAACTTAAAAAGAAACTATTTGTTTATTTCTCCTCATTTTGAAGTAAGATCAATTTTCACTGGGTGACTTCATTTGGGGTTGTTCCATGCTCTTACCCATTACAACCTGTGTAGGGAACCACATATATAACAGAGGTCATATTTCTGAGGATTCACTGTTCATGCTTACGTGGTTACTGCCTAAAGTTTTAGGATTAGTTTGAAATCTGTGATAGCCTAATGCATTAATGTGCTTCCAATCAAATCTTGTTTGCTTCCCATGCTTTCGCACCCCAGTGTTTGTGGTGACCTAGATAGTTGCCTTCACTTTTGGCATGCCTTAATATCATTGTTATTTTACACTCATTGGTTTACAATCAAAAAAGAAAGGAATGAAGTTTTCGGTGAATGAAAAATGAATGAAGTTGATGATAAAATTTATGCAATTTTATTGCATCTTTAAATGGCACTTATTGCATGCACTAATTAAGGCTAGCAACCTCGTTTTTCTCAATATTTTATGGGGTGCTTTCAACATAAATCAGTTTTTTCAACGAAAAATGGATTGAGATATATTTGGAATGTATTTTGTAAGTAGACTAGATATTGCGTAGCTTGGCTTCGTTGATGTAGGGCCTGCTTTTTTTTTTTTTATAATCTCTTGCAGGTAAATGGTTGTACTGGCAAAATGGGCAAGGCAGTACTTGAAGCAGTTGTCTCTGCAGGAATTCATATTGTTCCAGTATCATTTGGTGGTCTATAAAACGCTGGAAAAACTGTGCAAGTGGGTGGAAAAGATATTCAAATGTATGGTCCCTATGAAAGAGAACGCATTCTAGCATCTACCTTAAATGATTATCCAAATTTGATTGTGGTGGATTACACAGTGCCTGCTGCAGTCAATGGTAAACATCTGTCAAACTTTTTGGGGAAAAGGGTAATGAAACTTAGATCTCAAATAAATAATGGTCTAAAGCAAGAAGAAATATCTTGAATATTTAGAAGAGAGGCACTTTTGTTGTCATTTGACTTGCTTTAAGCTATTTATCAACTAAGAAATTGCTACACAAAAAAAAAAGGGGGGCATTACACAATCTGATCTGAGGGATGGGTGTACTGGTGGCGATGTGGAAAAGTTCCATAATCTTGTAAATATGAAATGTTGTTCAGTTTTTCTTGTACTTTTGGGTTCCACCCTTTTGTACTTGCTCGAATTGCTTATGCACCATTTCTTTGACCTTTCTTTTATTGATAAATTTGGTTTGTTATCCAAAAGGGAAAAAATACACTTTATGGAAATTGACAGGATAGGTCATGAGGATTAATATGCTGTCATGCTTTGATTATTTGCCTCAAGTTGTCCAGATTTCTCTATCTGAATCCAAGAAGAAAAAACAGAATTTCAGAAGCTATTTTTGTCTTACCTTGTATAAAATTTTTTTTGTAATGTTCAATACTTAATAGTTCAATCGGAATATAAATTGAGAGCCTAATGTACATATGTTGGAAATCTATGGATTATCTCCAATATATAGATATATATTTTGTTGCCTTTCAAATAGTATACTTATGCAATAATTCTTATGTATTATTCAGTATGTAGTATTTACCATGATTTTATGTGAACATTACTGTTTCTATACAATTGTGAAGTGAGAAAATTACCCATTACTTTTTTAATGATGCTGCATGATGCACATATGTTTAGTGTTACAAATGTCCTTAAACCTTACCTTTCAGATTGTGTGGGATTGAGACTAAGTGCATATTTTAGTAGGAACATAGTGCAAAAGACAATGCAGAACTTTACATGTTACAGGCAAAGGAAGGTGCTAGTTTTTTTCACAAATGACATATTTACCCCCTTTGATATCTACATGATATTTTGGCGTGTTACTTTGTGGATTATTCATTTTTTATTTTGCAATATTTCTTTCTTTGAGGTCTCTAACCTCGAGGTGTCCTTAGAATGTAGATTTTAGCTTAATAAAAAATAATGGACTTTATAATCGATCTAAGATATTCGCATAGTAGTTGTTGGATTTGCATATAGAAAGCAAATTTTCCCTAATATACATAGACTTCTTAATGGCGACTGATTGGGTGATGATACTGTTGAATAGCCAATTTGAAAATCTTCTTGTGAACTTGAAAACTTAGTTCTGCATTCCGATGAGCTACTTAGAATCTATGTATTGAAGTTTTTGTTGCCATACTATATACACAGATAATGTTGAATTATATTGCAAAATTGGCGTTCCTTTTGTAATGGGAACTACTGATGGAGACAGAAATCGGCTTTATAAGACAGTGGAAAGCTCAAAGGTTTATGCCGTGATCTCTCCCCAAATGGGAAAACAGGTTATCAAAGCTTAGTACTTGTATATTGGTTGCATTATCTCTGTGATGCTATTATTTTGTATTTGATGTTTTAGTGAAAACATGCTTCACTGGGTTTCATTTAGCTAGTGGCATTTCTTGCAACAATGGAAAATATGGCGGAACAGCTTCCGGGAGTTTTCTCTGGGTACACGCTACAGGTACTTCCGCTTTCTGCTTCCTCTTGATTCGGGGGTCATGTGTTCATGGTCACTTTCTTGATTTTATTGTTTTTAAGTGAACCTAGAGACCCTAATCTTATTCTAGAGATCCTTAATCTTATGGTTAATCCTTAATCTTAATATGTCAGTCTGAGCCGAAAAAAAAAACTTAAAGATGTAAGAAGGTACAACCAAGAGATTTACGTGGCTTGAAATCAAGGGTTATATGATATTTTGTAATTTTTCTTACTAATATTGTGTTATTTTGAATATTACAAAATAAAATGGAAAAAGATTATAAAGTATCAGTGAGTCAACATATTGAGCCAATCCAGTGAGCCAACCCACCGCCAATTTTTGTCTCTGAAATACATTTGACCACCATGCAGATCATCCACTACCGCCTTTTCCAGTCACCATAAACCTCCCTAACCCAAAAGCCTAAACTATGTAGAAAATTTTATAATTTAGATGCTACCTTCGATTCACCCCTCCTCCCTATGATCACTCTATCAAGAACCCTCCAACACACCACCACAACACACTCTCTATGAAAATTATGATCCGTACTACAGAAAAATGAGTGAATTCAATACCTGGAACCATGACCATCTCTGATTTTTAGATATGGAACAATACTTGCCTTTGGCAATGGTGAATCCAATGACTTGGCCGTGGTAAGAGCTTCTTGGCCTCTTGTGGGACCTGTTTTTGTTCCTGTGAGACCTGTTTCTGTTAATCAATGTGTCTCGTGCAAGGACTCTGTTTCAAGTGAACAGACTAACTGTCATTTGGGGGGCTCTAGCTTGGTTCTGGGAGGTGGTTATGGGAGATTGAAGGTTTTGGGTGGGGGAGGGGGTCCTAATTGGGGAAAGAGTTTTGGGGAGTCATGGGTCGTGGGGATTGTTTGGCAACAAGTTTAGGAATGTTTGACACCATGTTTTTTGTTGTCTTGGAACACGGTTAGGTTTGTTTGGCAAACTAAGCTGGAAGAATTTTGGTGTTTTTGATCTAAACTAGCGCATGGCTCGGTCATGTGCGGGGCCTGTGAAGGCTTTCTGTAACAAATTTTTTTGCAAATTGAGTGGAAGGACTTGATTGAAAAACATGGAAAACTTGGAGGATTTAATTGTTGCAATTGAAAAAAAAACATACTTCAAAAAATTTCCATTTAATTGTCTGTGATTAGTTATAATTAGATTAAAAGTCGTCATTTCATGCTTTCAAAAATTGGGGGTATCGTTTGAAGTAGATTAGGTGTGTTTAGGACATGATAGTACATAGTAGTATCGGATTTTCTCTTCATTTCGCAAGAATGACCAATGAATCATCAATGAAATACTTAATATTTATTTGGGTAAATGGATTTTGAAGCTGTTTATATGCTTGAAAGGTTTCGGTTTGTCAATATTTGTTGAAATATCCTAATAATAATTTGGGTAAATATCATTGACATCTTTCGTAGATTGATATAATTACAAAGACGACCCCTTGATTTTTGAAAATAAACTGACATTCCCTTGTCAGACAATGCAGAAAATGGGCGATGTCTTTCTACAAATTTGTCCCTAATGAAAAGTGACATTTTACATTTCTATTCTCCATTTTAAATGTGTTGTGCGTGTGTATTTCGTCGGTCAATGTCTCCTCTCTCGTAGCCAAAACTTCAGCCCAACCCACCACCGCCGATACACCTGTAAACACATGCACAGGTTTAGTGTTGTCTCGAAGAGAGAAAGACGATGATTTCTGAGCTTTGAGTTCTTGCAGTATTGATGAATCTGTGACAAGCTCCACTTGCAACAAGCCCCCAAACTCTATCTCTACTCTCACATACTATATGTCATATAAAAACAAAGCAACAAAATTGAAGAATGATAGTGTTGGGGCCATGTGCAATGGTGATGGGTGGGGCTGTGATGGTGACCGGTGGTGGGAGGTATTACTGAGTTATCTGTATGTAGGTTGGGGGGAACTCGGGTTCCGCCTGGGAGGGGAAGGTTCGAGGTCTGGGCGTCCAGGGATGGGGTGGTGGGGGGTGTGTGTGTGTGTCTGGTCTTGCTCAATTGTCTGGGGGTGCTGGTGTTTGTGATTATGTACAGCTGAAATTGCGGGCAATTCAGTGCAATTGAAGCTTTGTCGAACGTTGTGGTTTTACTTGGATGAACTGATCCTTTTTACTTGAGGAAAAGGGTGGGCGAGGTGTTTGCTAACTGTTCTATTCTGGATGTAGTGAGTGTGGGTGCCATCATATAGTCGGTACTTGGCTACCCTGTTACTAGACACCACACTTGCCTTCTTCATTTGATTTGTTACCAAGAAACTTTTTTCTGTGACAAATCCAAAAATTCATTCCTCCTGTAAAATTGAAACAAAGCATTAAGCAACCAGAAACTCGAAGAAAATACCAATTGACATCACATAAGTCACAAATATCAATCCTAGACAATTCACTGCAGGTGACGAATCCATGGTGGAGTCCCTTCTTACATGCTGCACGGACTTTCAGGCCAATCTCATCGATTTAAGGCCTTTAGAATCATCTCTCTCATCCAATGCCGTGCTGGTTCTTCTGCTTCTTGCTCTGATTCTTCTAATCTCAAGTCACTTCCACAGGTTGAACAACGTTATACCCACATCATCTCTTTGGGTCATGATCAACACCCTATTGGTTTTCCAAAACAGTCACCTTCTACTCATCCCTCAATTTCCTTGCTGATGCCCATGTTGGAACTAATGACTAAAATATATTGCAGTCTTTAGAACTGGGCTTCATATGGAGACTCTCTCGGCCTCTAAGCATATCGTAAGGGGACTAGACCCAATAACTTAACCTTACTGTCTGCATTTAAAGCTTTGGTCAAGCATTGAATCAAGATTTTGGTGGATTCATAAATATATTGATGGTAACTATCTTGAGTGGTTCTTGTTTGTGGGAAACGAGTTACTTTTTAGCTTCTTTTTGGGCCTTAGTTACTAAGGAGTTTCAAGGAACTCCTCTATTATGTATTTTTGCAATGTGTAATGCTTTCTGCGATTTTTAGTTTGGTTTCCATGACTTTTGATTTATTATGCTTTGGTTGTACAGCTTGTCCACCTTTATTGTATCCTTCTTATTTGATTATTCACCAGTAAATTACTTGTTCCTTATCCAGAGAAAAAAATTGCACCCCTTTGGTTATACCATAACTATTTAGGGACTATGGGTCTCATTATGGGTTTATGAGAAGGTTTAGAATGATAGGTGTGTTATGGCATACTTTGTTGTGAGTAGTGTTCATTGCTTCTAGACCTTAAAGCAAGCTATAGGATCCTAGTAACTCACGTAATGTAATTTTTTTTGCTGGTACTCATGTAATGTAAGTTGGCATGTAGAGACTTGTCCTTTTGGGGGGCTAAAACCTTTTTGTTGTCTCTTTCCTTCCTCTTTGCATAAGCTGTATGGCAAAAATCAAATCAGAACTGTTATGTATGTTCCTTGATCCTTTATTTAACATTTCATCAGGTAAAAAAAATACGAGATCCCAAGCAACAAATTGAGATGGTGGGTGTCCCAAAAGAGTACCTATCTGGTCATGCATTCCACATGTATCACCTGGAGTCACCTGATAAAACGTAATTTACGAACCATTGCTTTTGTGCTTCTCTGTTTGTCTTCCTAGTAAGCATCACTAACTATGTTAGATGTGTTTCCTTTTTTCAGAATTTCTTTTGAGTTTCAGCATAATGTCTGTGGTAGATCAATCTATGCGGAGGGTACAGTTGATGCTGCAATTTTCCTTGCTAAGAAGGTGATAATGCTTGCTTCCTCAAAATGCACCGCTCGAGTAATAGTTATTCACATAATTTAACCATTATTTTGGTTACAACTTTTATATACTCATCTTTTTGCCCTTTGCAACGTTACATTTGCCAGCTATAATCCACCAAATATATCAATGGTATACAATAGCCGTTTGGCAACCAATTAAGAGTATTAAAGAAAATATAACATGTATAAAAACTGCTGTTATTATCAAATGCTCCGAGTTTCTCTGGCTGTTAAGTTAATTTCTGTTACTAGACTGAATTTGGATATGTCGTGTGAACTCAGGTTCAATCAAAGGCGGACAAATTCATCTACAGCATGATAGATGTTTTGCGGGAGGGCGCCATGAGATGAAAGTGGTGTTCAACTTGCTCTGGAGACATAATAGTTTATGTGAGCAGTAGTCAAAAGGCTACTTCAGATTGGTTTTTGTAGGATGCACTCTTTCTTTTTCGTTGTTAACAACTTTGGATTGCTTGCTCATATTTGCATATTTGCAAATTTGCTTGGTCAAAACTCGGGAAAGTTTTCTCTGAACAAATAGATTGCTTGTTCTCATTAGCTTTTACATCCAAGTCCATCAAATTTATGTTTCTTGCTCTTAAAGTGTGCTTGTAATTCATCGAGTTTATTTCCCTTGAGAGCACATTGATTAAAAATTGGCGCGCAAAGGACATACTATGGTGCAGCAGAACTAAGCAAATGGTATGAAGTATGACATGCATTTTATTTTCCGCTTGGTGGATCATCTACCATGTGGTAATGAGGAACCCAATTATGTATAATGTGTTTAACTTGAAGCCACTCAAAGTTTAATTATAAGTTATGATGGGTTAAGCCCAAATAGTCCAATTTATGTATTAAAGTCCAACCCCGGTTGAGGAGCCCAACCTCTTTGTGAATCCACCAAGTCCAAGACAGTCCAAGGCCGGTTAGATTTCTTGCTTAGCACGTCACCAAGAGGCCACCAAGTCCAAGACAGTCCAAGGCCGGTTAGACTTCTTGCTTAGCACGTCACCAAGAAGAGAGCACGGGAAGTTTATCCGCACCACCGAAGGAAGGAAACGGTCCAATCTTTGACCACGTTTCATGAAGAGCTCCCCAACCTCTTCCTTCCGTTGAGGATAAGTCGTGATCTCCACCAAAGATAATCTCTAAGTTGCGATAAAGAAGCCTTGAGGATATGTCATGATCTCCACAAGAATGATCTCTTAGCTGCGATAAAGAAATCTTGAGGATATGTCATGATCTCCACAAGAATGATCTCTTAGCTACTATAAAATGGCTCTAATCCGGGAGAGGAAGGACATGCTCCATCAGAGACTTACAGAAGACGAACCGACTACCGGAGATTATTATTTTCTTTGATTCTCCATTCCCCCTCTCAAAGCTTGTATCTCCATTCTCCATACCTTTGAATCAATAAAATACCCGGCGACTGAAGCCATTGAAGAGTGGACGCAGGTCGAATTGACCGAACCACTATAAATTGTGTCTTCTCTAATTTTTTCATGGATTTTATTGCATTTATTATCTATACTTGACAGGTGGTGTGCAAAACCATTTTTGTGCATCATCAGTTTGGCGCCGTCTGTGGGAACCGACAAAATTCTCACTCCTAAACATTACGTCCATTAACTAATGGCCATCACTACTCGATCCATGAACCAACACGAAGACAATCCTCCACGAGAGGAAGAGGTTGCTCCCCCGCCTATCAACCCTGTTCCGAATACTCTAGCCCCGAATCCCCAACAAATATTGGAGACCATGCAGCAACTGGTTGCTCAAAACCAACAGTTACTGCAACTCATACTTGCTGGACAAGGAGGAGCACCACACAGAGGTGCACAACATGGAGGACCCCAAGGTGGAGCACCACACGGAGGTGCACAACGTGGAGCACCACATGGAGGTGCACAACATGGAGGGCCCCACGGAGGTGTACAACATAGAGCACCCCCAAGGAGCTCCACATCCTGGACATCAAGAAGCACCACGCCCTGTTGCTCCACGCCCGGGTGCCCCATTGGGCACCCCACTTCGGAAAGCCCAACATGAGGGAGCTGCACCTCCCCCTCCCCTTGCTTTCCAGGGAGAGGACTCTTATCTCCAGGAGGATGAGGGTGAAAACCACAGCATGGGGCATGGAAGCCACTTCCATGATCATTCCCGAAGAGCCCCCAATCATTGGGACGAGAAGATAAAGGAGGTACAGAATCAACTCGGTAATGTCTTCAACACCATGAAGGCACAAGGACCCGAGACTGTTGACCACCTGGTAAGGCGTACTGATACCCCTTTCAAACCTGATGTAGCAAACTACCCCCTCCCTCAGAAGTTCAAAATGCCATCTGTGGAGACCTTTGATGGAACAAAGGATCCACTGGACCACCTCGACACTTACAAGACCTTGATGCAATTGCACAACGTACCAGACGAAATCATGTGCAGGGCATTCCCAACCACATTAAAAGGGTCTGCCCGACAGTGGTTTGCTAAGCTCTCCCCCGCCTCTATTACCTCTTTTGCTGAGCTTAGCAGATCATTCGTCTCACACTTCATAGGAGGGCGTCGCCACCAGAACCAGTTACGCACCTGCTTAGTATAAAGCAGGACCGCGAGGAGAGCCTGAGGAGTTACCTCACTCGTTTTAACGAGGAGGTACTCCAAGTTGATGAACCCGACGACAAGGTGACGATGACCGCCTTCTTGGGTGGCCTCCGTTCATCAAGTTTCCTTTTCTCAGTTCTGAAGCGCCCACCGAAGAGCATGCCAGAACTATTCACAAAAGCTCAAAGATATATGAATGCTGAGGAAATCAACAAGTTTAGGCAAGGTGAATCATCTCACAGATCACCAGAAACTTGACCTGCCTCTGCACTGTTCTCAAACAGGCAGCCTATCTCCAGCTTAACGGCTCTCTCACGGGTCGCCAAAAAAAAAAAACTTGGCCTCTGCGCTGTTCTCAAACAGGCAGCCTATCTCCAGTTTAGCGGTTCTCTCACGAATCGCCAAAAAACTTGGCCTCTGCACTGTTCTCAAACAGGCAGCCTATCTCCAGTTTAGCGACTCTCTCACGGGTCGCCAAAAAACTTGGCCTCTGCGCTGTTCTCAAACAGGCAGCCTATCTCCAGTTTAGCGGTTCTCTCACGGATCGCCAAAAAAACTTGGCCTCTGCACTGTTCTCAAACAGGCAGCCTATCTCCAACTTAGCGGCTCTCTCACGGGTCACCAAAAAAGCTTGGCCTCTGCACTGTTCTCAAACAGGAAGCTTATACCACAAGCTTAAAGACTCCCTCATGGGTCGCCAAAAGCTAGGTCTCAAAAAGTGTAGCTCTCTCACGAGCAGTTCTCCAACTCTGTCTTTGCTCTCGCGCAAGCAGCCTACTTCTCTCTCTCTCCAAGTAATTATGTGAGATATTTTAATGTTTGGAATAACATTATTTTTGTCATCACAAGTAGGTTCTCCCGAGGCAGCCCCAGGCTCACCCAAGGCGTCCAACACCTGGAGAAGGGCTTGATCATCAAGAGCAGCACCCAAAGGTTCCTTACTACTTGCAATGTCTAGCCCAATGCCTAGAAGTGTGCCTGACTGCTGTTGCTCGTCAAAACAAAGTTGCCCAGTAGCTTGAAGGGTGTCTGACCCTTCAAAATTGCGCAAAGCAGAATTTTCGGCGTAAAAATCAGCACCTAAGACGCCCAAATCAGCACCTCGAGTGGGAATCGGATCAGCCCATGCTCCCAGGCCACTGCCTAGCTCTCCCTGACGAACCTTGGACTGATTTTCAGCGCCCCTTGATGAAAAAATGCTGCTGCCCAGCGTTCCAAAGCCACCCAGCGCAGCAGATCTGAAGCTGTCCGGGACAGCAGAAGCAGCAGCTAGGCTGCTGCCCAGCGCACCTGGGCTGTCCAGGACAGCAAGGCCAGCGCCCAGGCAGCTGCCCAGCGCGCCTGGGCTGTCCAGGATGCGAGGAGCAGAGCCTAGGCAGCCGCCCAGGCCCCCAGCGCGCGCGCGCTGCCCAGCCGCGCGCCTGCGCTGCGCAGCCTCCGCTGCCCTGCGCAGCCCAGCGCGCCTACGCAGCTTGCGCTGCCCAGCCGTCTCCTTTCGCTGCCCAAGCCAGTCCTCGCGCTGCCATCTCCCCTTCGCTGTCCAGCCCTTCATTTTCAGCCCCAAAGCTGTCCAAGACAGCATTCGAATGCTCAAAACTAGCCTCCAAGTTCTTCAAAATGGTGCCTACTTCCTCCCTTTCTTCAACCTCCACCACTCCCTCTTCAAAATAAAATGGGAAAGATTTGAAGTAAAAAAAAAAATGTAATCAATGCCTCCTTCTCCAAGTCCCCTTGGACATGGGGCATTGGGGGGCAAATGATGGGTTAAGCTCAAATAGTCCAATTTATGTATTAAAGTCCAACCCCGGTTGAGGAGCCCAACCTCATTGTGAATCCACCAAGTCCAAGACAGTCCAAGGCCGGTTAGATTTCTTGCTTAGCACGTCACCAAGAGGCCACCAAGTCCAAGACAGTCCAAGGCCGGTTAGACTTCTTGCTTAGCACGTCACCAAGAAGAGAGCACGGGAAGTTTATCTGCACCACCGAAGGAAGGAAACGGTCCAATCTTTGACCACGTTTCATGAAGAGCTCCCCAACCTCTTCCTTCCGTTGAGGATAAGTCGTGATCTCCACCAAAGATAATCTCTAAGCTGCGATAAAGAAGCCTTGAGGATATGTCATGATCTCCACAAGAATGATCTCTTAGCTACTATAAAATGGCTCTAATCCGGGAGAGGAAGGACATGCTCCATCAGAGACTTACAGAAGACGAACCGACTACCGGAGATTATTATTTTCTTTGATTCTCCATTCCCCCTCTCAAAGCTTGTATCTCCATTCTCCATACCTTTGAATCAATAAAATACCCGGCGACTGAAGCCATTGAAGAGTGGACGTAGGTCGAATTGACCGAACCACTATAAATTGTGTCTTCTCTAATTTTTTCGTGGATTTCATTGCATTTATTATCTATACTTGACAGGTGGTGTGCAAAACCATTTTTGTGCATCATCAAGTTAGACCCCTCAAAGTTTAAATATTTAACATTTATGTTCTAAAAAGAATTAAGTTTATTAATGCGCGTTAAATAGCTCTCAATTGTATTGTGTCATAACATTTTCATATAATGTTCAAGTCAATGAAAAAATATTTTTAACACAAAATTATTTTTATGTCGAGTTAGTTGCGTTGTGACATATATTTTATATTTAGACAATTCCCATAATACTGTTTAGTATTTTTTAAAAATTAAAAAATATTTATTTTTTGTTTATAATACTCGTTAAATAACTATTTTTTGT